CGACACCGAGGGTTGCAATCCGTTGCCGGTCACGAAAAAAGACAAAAAGGAAAAAAAAAAAAAAGAAAAAGCATACAGTTAGATTTAATTTAACTTCAGAATTTGTGAGACTTTTATATTTGTTGAACAGTTTTTAAGCAATACTGACTTTTCTTCCCCATGAATATTTTCTAATAATCAAGGTGGATTGAGACTTTTCTAGTTTAATAAATCTATAAATTTAGTTTATTAAAAGATCTTCATAAAAGAGAAAAATCATACTTATAAATATATTTTTCAGTCAAACAGCCAGATTATTTATATATATTTTATATGTGTATATAAGTAAAATCATTTATAAACCACATTAGTTTTTTTGAGGGGTGCAAGTAACAGGCACAATTTTTTTTTCCAGTAATGAGAATATTTTTGGTCAAGATACTTGTAGAAATAAGGAAATGAGGATTTTGACCTGTAGCTATTGATACCTAGGAAAAATCTAACAGCAAGGCACCACAAAAAGCAGAAGACTTAGTAGAGCCAGGTTTGTTGGAACTGGAACGTAATTTAAAATTTAAAATTAAAGTCCTAGAGATGCCCTGGAAAGTTTGTGGAGTTTTACAGCTAACCATTCATTGACACCAGACTAATAGCTGAACCCACAGTTAATCTAATGCACTTCTAATGTGTGTGTGTATATGAAAAAGCTGAAGTAAAAGTTTCATGAGACAGTTCTTAATCTTTGCATATGTGATGAACTCTGCTATTTTCTCTTTTCCTTTTTAAAAAATTTAATTGATTAATTAATTTATTTTTGTAGCAGACCTGTATGGGGATCCAAACCCTTGACCTTGGTGTTACAATACTGTGCTCTAACCAACCAAGATAACTGGCCAGGCTATTTTCTCATCTACTTGCTCCTTTCCTATGCCCTTTCCCCTTTTTCTCTCTGACTCTGCTCTCTCTGCCTGTCCCTCCCTCCCTTCCTGACTCCCAGTATCTGCCTTAGTTTTTTTGTCTGTATGATTTATAATTTTTAAGGTTTTTTTTAACGGTTGTTTTCTCCATTTCTCTTTTCCCACTTATCACCTTCCAGATACTCTGCTGTTCTTTATATATTTTTCCCTACTTCATAATTTGTTATCATATAACTTCATTTTATATGTGGCCTATTGTGGACTGACTTGTCATCAAAACATTTCAGCTTCCATTGCTGGCTGCCCATTTTCCTTGGTATTTGTTAAATGAAAGAGAGATTTTGATTGGTCTAGTTCAACTTTTTGGACAAGTACAGCACAAGTTCTGGTCCAGAAATGGGTTGGGTTCTTTTGGGTCAGAAGCCCATTCCTGTTCTGAATGGGGGCCTACTTAGGGGGTAAAGAGGGGGCATAGGGCTGTGTGTGTGTTTGTGTTTGAGAGAGAGAGAAAAACAGAGAGACAGACTATGAATATATGAGTGTTGGGGGTGCCGAGTGGGCTTCGTTTACAAATGGCCTTGAGTGTACTTCATCTCTGTAATGCAGGGTCCCTGCATTCAAGCTATACAGTCTGATGAGTGTAATATTACTAATACAGTAGAAAAGTATACATAGTAATCACCAAATGACTGGCACAGTTTTATAGGGATTCAGAGAAGCATCTGTGAGGGGGTAATGAAACAAAGCTTTTTTGTGTGTTTTAGTCTGACCCTTTTAGCACTCTCTATTCATAATATGAAGAAATTGGTGCAGAATATTGAAAGTACTATAGATACTATTTTTTCACATAAGCGTATACTTGTGTGCTTGTATGCTGTTCTCTCATGGGACAACCTCTACCCCCCACCCACAGACACACATATATACAAACTGTATATGGCCTTGCTTTCACTATGTAGGAGTTGCTACTTCTTTAGTGAGAGTCAAGAGCTGGCTTGGTAAAAAGTCTTAAGGAATAGAGGAGTTGAGGAAGGAGAGAAGGGAAAAAGGAAATAAGGGTAAGGTTAGAGGGAAAGAGTTAATAAATTTGGGTGTTGATTACAAACCAAAATTAGTGCCCCAATATTGATTTATGATTGTAAGAAAATGTACAGATATTGGACATATAAATAATAGAAAAGTATTAACTTTAAGGATATTAATTGCTGTGAAGTAAATTAGTATTTTAAGAATACATTAAAAATTAGAACATTAGAAAATTGCTAACTTTTCCCCTGTGGTTAGCTATTAATTCATTTTAACTGTCTTCAGTTAATTCTGTGTTATAGTTTCAATAGAAACTGTGTACATCCTTATATGTGTAGGTATATGAGATTTTGACAACCAGCATAAGATCAAGTTAAATATAACTTCATAGCAATATGATGTCTTTGTGATTCAACATGTAAGGGTATGCCTCCTTTTACCCAAGATTTACATGTCTTTAAATAGAAACTATATTTGAAGAAAACTGTAGGAGAATTTAATATTTAAAGAAATGCTTTTGTAGGGTGAAAAAAATTTACCATGAAAATAAAGCCCTCGTATGATTGTAAATCCAAATTTTAATAAGTTGGATTGCTTAAAGTAAGATGTAATTTAAAATGGTGATTTTCCTTACTGAATCTGTTATCAGTGATTTCTGTCTGAACTTTTGCAGGAATCCATGGGAAAAAGCAATGATGGAAGAGCTTATGTTATCACTGGCATGTGGAACCCCAATGCACCAATATTTCTGGCACTTAATGAAGAAACCCCAAAAGGTGACTTTTCTTAAAGATCCCTTATTATTTGCTTTAAATTTTACATTATGAATGATATTGTTTTGTCATGTTTTTAAAAAATTATGGTGCTCATTTAAAATGGCAATATTGTTCTTATTTAGAATTCGAGGTTCCTTTTCATACTTTATGCTTCTATGGGGAAACCCTCACTATTCTAAAGAACCCCCCCAAGGCTGGCTGGTTAGTTCAGTTGGTTAGAGCGTGGTGCTGATAACATCAAGGTCCAGGGTTCGATCCCTTTACCAGCCAGCTGCCAAAAAAACCCACACACAAAAAAATGAAAAGCAAAAGAATCCCCCCAAAAGATGCGAGAATCAATTTTAATAGATTACGTGGAAAGCATTTGGCTTTCATGTTTCATTAATTACTATAGAGTTGTTTTATTGGGGGAGGGGCAGTGATGGAGGAATATAAAAGATAATGATGAAAGGAAACATGCTGGAATTTTGCATATTTTTTATTATTATTTTAACTTTTTTTTTTACATTATAGATTACTTTTATTACATCATTTATTAACTATTGGTCCTAGTCTTTTGACCTTTGGGATTTTAGTAATATACATTAAGGATTTTTTCATATGTGACAGATACATTATAGATTACTTTTATTACATCATTTATTAACTATTGGTTCTAGTCTTTTGACCTTTGGGATTTTAGTAATATACATTAAGGATTTTTTCATATGTGACAGATTTTTTTCCTAGTTGTTTATCTTTACATTTTATTTAACATGTCTAGTGTTGGACAGAGTTTATATATGTTAAATAGTCACATTTGCTATTTTTTCCATTGTGTATTTTTTTATTTCTATGTTATCCAGATATCTGTTAATTGCTTGGTTTTTATGCCCCTACGTCATCTGCCTTTAAACTAAATTTAAAGTTTTACCTGATAAGTTATAGTCTTAGCGTAAATGCTTTACTGTCGTTCAACCAATAATTTATATTTAGAATATAATGGATCAGTTTGTTTTATCTTTAGTCTTGTATTATTTAGTTTATACCCACATTAGACTTTTGGTTAAAGGTAGGAAACGTTAGTGAATACTGGTATGGAAATACAGTATGTTAATGAAGAATATTAAAATGATAATTATTCTCAGATTTCCTTAAAGAGAGTATTCACTAGTTTTGTAAATTGCATATATTTGATCACACATAAAGCTGTCTAAAAATGAGGGCTAAAAAGAGAAAAAATTAATGATTACCTAAAATTGAGCTTTTTATATATTAGCAATAAACAAATTTTATACCCATAGTGTGTTATTTCTAGAGATCAGCCTGTAACTTTCTTTCTTATAAATGTTCAGAAAGAAAACACGAAAATGAGAAAAATAAGCCAGTTGATAATTTTGAAGAATAAAATTTAGGGATTTCAAATATCAAGTTATAAAACTAACTGGTACCTGTGTTTAACGTAACACGTAGTTCAATTTCATTTTGTATTTCAAGACATATTTGGTCCTCAACTAAAAGAAAATTTTAATTTATTCTATTAAAATAAACTATGTATACATACAGAATCATAAGAACTGCACAGAACTATTTCATTGGAAATTTGATTAATGATTTTCCTATGAGTAAATATATATTATGAGCAGTGAATATATATATTATGAGTAATCTCCAGACACTTTCCTTAAAGCAAACAACACGAAAATATTGATGTCAATAACATTTTACCTGTACAAGTTTAATATAGAGAAGGCTGAATGTCTCTTCTGATTTGACAGTTCCTCCTATGTAACTCATTAAACAAACCCAATAATTTCTAGTATCTCCATTTATAAGATGGAAGTGATTTTCCAGAGGTTCCCTGGGAAATCTGATAGTTTTAGATTGTAAGTTATCCTGAGAACTTTATTTTTATATTAAGGATCTCATTTTGGGAATGAAGAAAGTAAGTTGTCAGGAGATTTGGACACTCAGTTAAGATAGGATCATTATTAGTGCCTGAGAAACATACTTGGAATACTTAGTTACCTATTTAATTTAAAGCAATAATAAAACATTTAAAAATAAATATAGAAGATAATATGATTGTAATGAACTTTAATTCTTTCATAAGATAGGACACTTTGTTTTCTTAAATAATCAAGGAATAATAAAGCCAGAATAAAATCCAGAAAATTTCTACTGCAGATAAACGAGTGTACATGACTGTGGCAGTGGATATGGTAGTCACGGAGGTGGTGGAGCCTGTCCGCTTTCTCCTGGAGACAGTAGTTCGTGTGTACCCTGCAAATGAGCGATTTTGGTATTTCAGCAGAAAGACTTTCACAGAGACTTTCTTCATGAAGTTGAAACAGGTAGGACCTTTTTGTTCTCTTCACATAGTAACATATTTTTCTTTCTACCTTTCTTTTTTAATGCCACAATAATTCCTGAAGTAGCAATAAAAAGCAATAAATTTCCTCAAACAATCGAATGTTATTTTGAAATCAGCCAATAAAGTGTTTGAAAAATCCACACTAGGTAATAAAAGTTAAAACCCAGTTAGTGTAATAGTTATGTACTTTTCTTCTAGAAACCAGTAAAGTATGAACATACCTAATAGAAATATTGATTCTGTATATAGAACAACTATCCTGTCTTTTATACGCAATTACTTGAAACCAAAAAGACAGAGCACAGAAATACCATATGCTTATAAGTTTTAATGAAAAAAATTCCCAAGAAATATCTGATTGCCAGTTATTTCTGCCTGTAATGTTAGGTAATGAACATTATATGAACATTTCATTTGACTCATCAGTAAGGATACAAAATTATTTTAATATTAAATGAACAAAATTAGGGTTTCTATGACATCCTTAAATTAGGCAGTATTAGTAGATAAAACATATAATTTTTGTTTTGTAGTAAAGGAAGAAGGTACCTGAAAAAAATCTGAACTTTAATAGTGTCAGTGTTTTAAAATTAGGATAAAATACTCTATTTGAATAATGGATACCCTTTATATGCTGTTTTTATTAGTACTCCCACTCTCCCAAGTTTTAAAATTCTCAGTGCTTCATATACCGTAATATGCAAAATGTGATATGGTAAAAGCAAGCAGCAGCTCAGTGAGGAAATATGGAAGCCACTTACCCATTTTCATAAAAGAAAATCTGTCATGGCTCTGTTAGCCTTCATATACTAGATACTCTGAAATTATTGTGCTTTTCATTTTTTGTAAAATTATCATAACTAATTTGACTCAGCTTTTATTACTGAGCTGTACTATGTGTACTGTTTTATTACTGAGCTTTACTGTGTGGACATTTTGCAGCATATTCTAATGAAGATTATATGAATGTTATTCAAAACATCAGTTTCCTGAGCATCTTTTAATATTTTGTCATGAGATTTTTCCCCTGCTTCTCTTGCACCCTCTCTCTCTACCTTCTGTCCTTCCTTTTCTTCCTTCCTTCCTTTCTTTCTTTTTTTTTTTTTTTTTTTTGGTAACTTAGTTTTATGACTATCAGAGATTTTGTCATTTTGAGCTAAACGATTATTCAGAGTTACGTAACAGTGAATGAAGGAGCTGTGTAGAAAGTGGGTTGCCATTCTTATAGTTATAATAAGTTATTGTCATGTAAATTTTACCTCCTGAAAACCTGAGAAAAAGTTAGCTTTTTTACCAGTTCTTGCACATGCTCTTGTTCTCCCTCTCTCTGTATTTTATTTTATAAAATATAGAGTGGATTTTTTATTTTAAATATTTTTATATTTTATAAACTGCTGATATTGAGTGACTTTCAGTGGTAAATACCATGAGAATTTTCTTAGTAATAAAGCATTAAAAATGCTGTATGAGGCCATTTCATGTGAATTAAAAAGATAGATTCACTTGTAATACTTAGCTCTACGAAGTGTGAGACTAATTTAAATGAGTCTTAAAAATGAAGAAGATTGTTTCTAACTTTAGTGCTAATATTCTATATTAATGACAAAATGTGGAAAGCTACGGAAAATAGACTATTGACTGGTCCACATATGAAGACATACCCAGATTAAGCAGAAATAATAAAAATGAAAAAATTGAAATCTAGAGAAGTTAAATGAATTGTTGAAATTCATATGGGTAATTATTGGAAGAGCAGAGACTACAACTCCTTATCTTACGCCAGACTGTGCTGCTGTAAGGCCACACTAGCTTCTGTCTGTAACTCTAGAGACTGGTTCGTGGCTGTTGATGGTAATCTGGAAATGATGGTGTAGACTTGACAACATTGGTAAAAAGAAGGAATTTGGTGAGCATCTCACGTAATTCAAGGTAACCTTTGAAAATCTGGGGCTAGGCTATTACTCCTTTAAAAGATTCAAGGGAGAGTGAGTTAGTTTCAGTTTTGAGTAACTTAGATTTAGACACTTAGAACTATTTCTTTCATTGTGAGAGTATTAGATTTATTGAACGAACCCTAACTAGTTCCGTGCCCCAGCAGGGTTGAACCAGAATCCTGGTGACAACAGGATTGGATGTCCTGTCCCCAAACGATTTTTTTCTTGGCAGCTTTCCTACTTTCAAATACAGCAGGACTATATCTGTGGGCACTGAGGATGTATTAAAGTCTAACTTCTTCCTGATTAGTGTCCACTCAGGGACAAATGGCATTTTCATTTCATTCATATTTTACTTGTAGGGAGCAAGGAGAACATGTAACAAGGGAACTGAAGCTAGAGAGTCTGGGAAAATTTCCTGGAGAGAGTCATTTGACCTGAGGTTTAATAGGGGAGTAGAAATTAATTAGGTGAAAGTAGGAAATAGTATGTGGAAATGCCCAGAGAGCTAGAAAGGCTGGAGCTGCCAATAGCTGATGAGGAGGGGAAGCTCGGTCCCTGATCATGTGAGACTTTGGAGTCCATAAGTGTTCTTTTATAAATCAGCTTTATTGAAGTATAGTTAGCACACCATAAAATGCACCTGTTTTAATTGTACATTTTGATGCGTTTTGACAAATGTATATAACTGAATAACCACTACCAAAATTAAGATATATAGCATTTCCATCATTCTTAAAAGTTTCATTGTGCCTATCCCATGCAATCCTCCCCTGCCTCAACCTCAGGCAACCACTGACCTGCTTTTTTTCATTATAGATTATATTAGTCATTTCTAGAGTTCTCATATAACTGAATTCATACAGTACTCTTCTGTGTAAGGCTTCTTTATCACGATGTTTTTGAGATTCATCCACGTTGTGTGTCAGTTGTTCATTCTTTTTATTGCTGAATATTACTCCTTTGTATGGAAATAGCACAATTTGTTTATCCATTCGTCTGTTGGAAATTTCAGTTTTCAGTTTTTGGCTAGTAAGGTTAAAGCTTCTATGTAATCGTTTTGTCAAATAATTTTTCTTCATCTATTGAGTAGATAATATGTTTTTTATCCTTCATTCTGTTAATGTGGTATATCACAGTTATTGATTTGCATATGTTGAACCATCTATGCATCCCAGGGATAAATCCTACTTGATTGTGGTGTATGATCCTCTCAATGTGCTATTGATTTTGGTTTGCTAATATTTTTTGAGGATTTTTGAATCTGTGTTCATTGGGGATATTGGCTTGTAGTTTTCTTTTCTTATAATGTCCTTTTCTGGCTTTTGTATCAGGGTAATGCTAACCTCATAAAATAAACTTGGAAGTCTTCCCTCCTCTTCAGTTTTTTGAAAGAGTTTGAGAAAAAATGTTTGATAGAATTCACCAGTGAAGTCATCAGGTCCTGGGTTTTTCTTGTTGGGACACTTTTTTATTACTGATTCAGTCTCCTTAGTTTTTATTGGTCTGTTCAGATTTTCTGTTTCTTCATGCTTGGATTTTGGTAGGTTGTATGTTTCAAGGAATTTGTTAATTTCTTCTAGGTTTTCCAGTTTGTTTCTAATGTGTTTTTTTATGATCCTTTGTATTTCTGTGATTTCAGTTGTCAGGTGTTTTTCATTTATAATTTTATTTATTTGAGTCCTCTTTTTTTTTTCTTGGTTAGTCTAGCTAAAGTTTTGTTAATTTTGCTGATCTTTTCTAAAAACCCCAACTCTTAATTTTATTGATATTTTCTGTTGTTTTTTTATTTTGTTTATTTCTGCTCTGATCTTTATTATTTCCTTTCTTCTGCTAACTTATGATTAGCTTGTTCTTCTTTTTCTAGTTCCTTGAGATGTAAAGTTGTTTGAGATCCTTCTTTTTTCTTAATATAGGTATTGCTATAAACTTTCCTCTTAGAACTGCTTTTGTTGTATCTCATAAGTTTAGTATGTTGTGTTTCCATTTTCTTGATTTTTAAAATATTTAAAAAATATTTCTCAAGAATTAAAAAATATTTTTCTTTGGCCTACTGATTACTCAGGAGTGTGTTCTTTAATTTTTATATATCTGCAAATTTTTCAGTTTTCTTCTGTTATTTATTTCTAGTTTCATACCCTTGTGGTTAGAAAAGATACCTGATATGATTTCAGTCTTCTTGAATTTGTTATGACTTTTTTTGTGGCCTAGCATATGATCTGTCCTGGAGAATGTTCTTTGTATGCTTGAGAAGAATGTGTATTTTGCCGCTGTTTTGTATATGTCTGTTAGGTCATTTAGTCTATAGTGTTGTTCAAATCACTATTTCTTTATTGATTTTTTGTCTGCATGATCTATCCACTGTTGAGAATGGGGTATTTAAGTCCCTTTTATTATTGCATTGCTGTTTATTTTTCCTTTCAGTTCTCTTAATACTTGCTTTGTATATATAGTTGCTCTGATGTTGTATACTGTGTATAAATGTAATTGTTATGTCTTCTTGATGAATTGACACCTATATCATTATATAATGACCATTTTGTCTCTTGTGACACTTTTTGACTTAAGGTCTAGGTTGTCTGATATAAATATAGCCACCACTGATCTCTTTCAGTTATTGTTTGCATGTAATATATGTTTCGTCTCTTCATTTTCAACGTACATGTGTCCTTAAAGCTAAAGTGAGTCTCTTGTAGGTAGCATGTAGTTGGATCTTGTTTTTGTATTCACTCAGCCACTCTTTGTCTTTTGATTGGAAAATTTAATCCATTTATATTTAATTTTTTGTGGGTAAGGAATTACTATTGTCATTTTCTTAATTGTTTTCTTCCTATTTTACAGTTTTTTTTTTTCCTTTCTTTCTCTTCTGCTGTCTTCCTTTATATTTGATGACTTTTTGTGGTGGTATGCTTTGATTCCTTTCTATTAATCTTTTGTGTATCTACTTCAGGGTTTTGCTTTATGGTTACCATGAGGCTTACCTAAAACATCTTATAGTTATTATGTCCTATTTTAAGTCTTATTAATTTTAGTCTTATGTAGGCTC